ACATGGGGTTCCTTAAAACCGGCCCTTGTTACTTACAATAGACAGAAAGTTCCTTGAAACTGTCTCAGGGTTCCTTAAAACAGTCCCAGGGTTCCTTAAAACAGTGACTGAAGAGCTGCTGAAGTGGACTTTGGTTCAGATGTGAAACAGATGAATGTGGTGAACAGAACCCCCTAACGGTTCTTTAGGGGACCCTGAAACAGACCTGAAAGCTTTCAGAGTCCGCCTCCTAAATCTACAGACACCTAGACTTAAAGGATCCCAGAACTGTTTCCAGGGACACCGAGGGAACCTCAAACCAGCTGAAGACCAAGTCCAACAATCAGTCAGTGAAACCAGAACACTCCTGAAGGACCTCAGACCCAGACCAGAACTCTCCTCAGAACTGGACCTTCAAGGACCCTAAACCAGAACCTCAGGGTACCTAAAGACACAGACTTTTACTGTGAACCCCAAAGGTTCCTGAAGTGGAACCTCAAAGATTCTGGTTTACAAAGGTGTGTGTGTGTGTGTGTGTGTGTGTGTGTGTGTGTGTGTGTGTTCACAGAACCGTTTGTCTTACATGAAGGACCTATTCAAGGACCTCAAGGACTCCAGGTAACCACCTCAAGACCCATTAAACCATCTTCAAGGATCGAGTGTCCGTAAAGTGACCCTGAAGTGACACACACACACACACACACACACACACACACACACACAGATGTGTCTACTGAAAGAGGAGACCCAGGCCTGTCACCATGGTAATGATCATACCTGTCAATCAACAGGTAATCAGTCAGCTGATAGGCTGACAGCCTGACACCTCACTTCCTCCCCCCTCCTCTCTGACCCTGTGATGACCCCCCAACACACACACACACACACACACACACACACTCTCAGGTGTGGTTCAGGTGTCTGTCTGTTTGGCGCCCCCTGTGGTGATCAGAGGTAACTGCAGGAGTTTTCTCTTGTTGTTGACACCTGCCTGTCAGAGCTGTCCTCACCTGTCCTTACAGAGTTCAGGTGAGACTCAGCGCCATGTAGGTGTTCAACCTCTGACCTTTGACCCCACGAACCTATGAACGTCCAATCAGAGCGGAGGAGACGCACGGTTCAGGAGAAAGGACACAGGGCGTGTCTGTGAGTGTGTGTCTGTGTGTCTGTGTGAGGTTTGGAATTTCCCTGTGGTGTGTGAGTCCCTCAACACACACACACACACACACACACACACACACAGACACACACACACAAATATTCAGGATCTGGTTCATCATGTTATTGTTGGCTCTGTGTGTGTGTGTGTGTGTGTGTGTGTGTGTGTGTGTGTGTGTGTGTGTGTGTGTGTGTGTGTGTGTGTGTGCAAAGCCGTTCTCCACCTCCTCTAACCTGATTGGTCGTGAGGCAGACGCTGCTCCCCCGTGTCGTTCAGGAGCCCAAACAAAGTTAGCGTGCTACAATATCGGACAGTAGAAACCAACCAGAAAGTTCGGAAAATTGTCTGAATCCTCCTTTGGCCACGACTGCCGACACAAGCAAGAAAACACTCAAACATAAACATTCAGCAAGAAAACAGTCAACAAGAAAACAGTCAACAAGAAAACAGTCAACAAGAAAACAGTCAACAAGAAAATGCTGCTCCCCCGTGTCGTTCAGGAGCCCAAACAAAGTTAGCGTGCTACAATATCGGACAGTAGAAACCAACCAGAAAGTTCGGAAAATTGTCTGAATCCTCCTTTGGCCACGACTGCCGACACAAGCAAGAAAACAAAGTAAATACCGGAGACTCTGGAGGAATAACGGGCGCTTAAAACGGAGGTAGACCGGACAAGAGCTAACCCTTCATTTTCACCGCATCAGCGATTTTCGCCGTCCGCCAATTCCTACTGGATACGATTGATTCCTGATCGTCTACGAAAAGGTCGTTTCCTCCGATCGTAGCTGATTAACGTTTATGTTGACCTTCGTCTGTTTCGCTCTTGACCTCTCTCTCCAGTAGCAGGAGGACGCTCCTCTTCCTCTTCCTGTTCACTCCTCCCTCTTGTCTTCCTGTCCGTCTGATTGGCCGGTCTGACCCGTGTCCACATTCCAGCCGCTCTTCAGAGAGGAAGTGATGTCGTCGGCCGTCTCTCGGCCGTGCTGCTGTTCCAGGTAGGGGTTTCCTGCGTTTCCCATGATGCCCCGGGGCTGTTTTAGTGATGATGGATGTTTTATTGTGCTGATATGTTTGGTGATGACCTCGGGTCTGGACTCTGGGACGTCGTCCGTCTGAAGAGTTCGTGTTTTGACGAAAAAAATTAATCTGAAAATAAAACTTCATAAAGACAGATGCAGCGGTAACATGGCGGCAACATGGCGGCTGCTGTCTTCATGTCACACAGACCTCCATCTCACGTCTCCTTTTTCCTCGTCTGATCCTCCACATCTGGGACGAGTTAGAGAGGAATGAACAGAGAGAGAGAGAGAGCGAGAGAGAGGGGGGAGAGCGAGGGAGACGGACAGACAGGTTATGTTCAAT